GAAAATTCAGGTAAAGGGAAGGAGATTTGAGACGATAGGAGAGATTCAGGCAGAATCGCAGATGGTGCTTGACCGGCTGACAAAGAAAGATTTCCAGGGATGCTTCCAGGCTTGGCAGCGGCGCTGGGATCGTTGTGTTCACTCCCAGGGGAACTACTTCGAGGGTGATGGATGAATTTAATACCTGAGATAAGTGTACGGGTTTTTATACGCGCAGTCTAGAAACTTTCCGATCGCACCTCGTATCACCGTATATTAGCCGTTTCGCCTGCCTTAAAGAATGCAGCACAACAGCGTATGCCGTAATGAGCCCGGGTTAGTTTATATAAAACGAAATACGTTTAACACAACGCGCTCTTACAAATCTACTACAAGTGTAGAACGTTGTCGTCATCACCACGTGTTGATACGTACACAGAAAGCTACTATTAATATGACACACGTGTTTATATTTTATGTTATATCTGCAACGTTAAGAGCGCACGTATTTATTTAAATACGCATTTATTGGTCAGAATGTAGTGGCACACGCTGTAAGATCTACCGAAATGTATCTAGCCCAATAAGGTAGTCATATAAACATATATGTATTAATTAAGTAGTGAATTTTCTGTTTGTAACAAAACACTAACGCCATTATTAACAAGATTTTGTGCTAGACCGTACCTCCTGAGAATGGAGTCAGTATGTTCATCAAAACGTTGGTATCTGCCTACAAGTCCACACGGCGTTACAACCCAGAAGGCCAACTTCAAATACCTCGACATCTGCATATTATGTTGGATTCTACTCAACTCCCTAAACGTCGTTTATGCTCAGTTATACCTCAAACAATGTTAATAATGTCCACCATTATGTTCGAATAATGAGTCACCAATCTCCGCAAATATTGAATTGTTCACGAAGATTATTTTTCTTAAAAGTGTGTTACTTCATTCTATCGATCACGCTATTTTCACGTTAGACCCAATTTCTTCCAAATTACATCCTGGAGACCTAATTTGGCGTTCCTTGCAGAGACGTGAAAATAATTCGCTGTGATGCTCTTCAAAAACTCACATTGTGACGCCATTCCACTTTGTAAACCGATGGCTGAGTCTGTATGAGGCAGTCGAAATACACATCCGCATCCTCTCGAATAGTGTCGGGTTTGAGGGATGAACCCACTGCAGACTCCCTATCGGAATATCTGAAACATAATCACTGTGCGTTACTTTGCAACAAGCTGCTAAAGCCGAAAGCTGCACGCAAATCTCCTGTGACCGTCAAGTTACGTTTTTAAGAAGTAGCAAGGACCTCTGAAACGTCAGTAAACATCCACCAGACTTCACGTCGCTACAACTTCACCTTGTTACGTTCTACAATAGCTGATCTTAATAAGAGATGCATATTTTTCGAAAATCTATTACCAAACAAAATTTCAGGATCGATTTTTTAATAATCAATAGTGTCTTGAAATTTCCGAGATAAATAAATGAAATTACAGTACCAGGTGTAAAGAAACTCTCGAGTTGGCAAATGAAACACGCAAAAGTAGACTGCAATTTACAGTGGAAAACTATTTTTGCTAATCGCCTTATAAAATTCCATCATTCTCGTGCAAAGTCTGTATATTGATTTTATTTTCCAACTTTCTAAGCTTTCTTAGATAAACCTCGTGAATTACAGCAAGGTTACAGAACCTATCCGGGCCGACGATTTGAGAATGCTTAACCACAGTGAAATACAAGCAACCGAAGTGACTTAAAAAGCAACCACCCGTTGATTTCACATGAGAAGCATACGCCCAACTGGTATACATAACTATAACTATACTTTCTCACTCCCTGTCACCTTCTTTGTTCTTGCGGCAAGAGATAGTTATTTCCCGAACTAGAGTCAGTGGGGAACAAGGATCGCCTCAGGGTTGACGTGGTAATTTTTTTTTATATAAATAAACACAGGAACAACAAATTTAATAACACCGAATAATTTTACTTTTGAAATTAAGGATAATCTTATACACTATTTTCCATAACTGGTACAAAAGTTTTGTACACAGGCTGAACGCCCGCTGTCGACTGTGTCCACTCGAGTACTGCCATCTGTTTTGACCTGACTTCCCAGATCCCTTGCTGGCGTGGGAACCTCCACACATGAATTGCAAGCGTGGGAATCTTCACCCATGATCGGCTGGCCAGTTCAAGTTTCAAATCAAACAGTTACAGGGGTTTTGGACTGGTATACATAACTGATACACAGTTAAATTATTTAGGAAACTAAGACATTCAGAAGAATTAACATGTGTACAAATAAATAAATAGACTAATTAATCTTTCAAATAAAATTGAAATTTTGGCTGTACTATGTTCCATTATATCTCGAGGATTATGCTAATTTAACCGAAACTTTGCTTATTTATGCCAAGAAACTAGGAGGAGATTCCTGTTCTGAATAATTGAGAAATGTGACAAACTCTACTTAATAATCACAATATGGAATTTCTTAATGTTCCTATGAGTTAGTTTCACCTATTGTAATAGAAAAACTTATTAAGTTATGATTATGTGAACTTCATCAGAGTGACACATGCATGAGAAGAAAGTTATAAGGGCATACTTAATCTCACTGAAATATATTACTTGAAATTCACAATATGAATACACTAAACCCTTCTAATGTACAAATATTCCTGTAGACTTAAAGATACAGAAATTAAAAATAACACATTCTTCTCACAAAATAATTAGCTTTCTCGTCATGTAAATTCAGTGAGTGAGTTAGATTTTTTGAAGTTCTCACAGCAACGAGTACTTACACGGCTGTCTTCTGGGCTGTAGTGCCATCCAGTCTGAAAGAAGTTTACTAATGTTTCAAAGATACTTGCTGCCTATATCACCATTGCCCTGATAATGGGTGAAGCAAGTCCTACGAAATGTTAGTACACTTCTACCAGACTACACAGTGCTACAACACAGAAAACAGTTCAGTGAATAATTTGATCGATCACATTAATTTTCATACATAAACACTCACGAAGGTCTCCTTCAGAGATGGAAATATTTCAACTCTCTGCAGTATAATTTTTGGTACTCTTGTTAACCTGGAATATCTCTCCATGTTCTGAAAGGAAACATACTGATTACATGAGGTGTTTAAAGATACAAAGTTTAATGGTAAAATTGATTTATTTCTAATAGGCATTCACCCTTCATTCAGACATACTGCAACTTCAATAACTTGACCCTAGACCATCACTTATCAGACTTCTTTAATAATACAACAGAGACTGACATGTCTAATGGATCGGGAAAAAAAGACATAATTTAATATTTATAATAATAATTATCAGAAAGATCATGCCTGAAAAGGAATTCTTAAAAGTTTACAAAATCACAATGAGAAGTGACAGAAAATATGATCTAAGGCGACCAAACTGCATAATACTAAGATTAGTAACATCACACACTCTAAAGGCACTTGCTCCTTACATTTTTGGGTCAAAACGTGGATACAGCTAAGAGATATTTCAGTTATTTGAAGGCTGTGCTAATGCACGTGCAGAAGTGGAAAAGTAAGAATGAACAATATGACTTCTTATCATCTGAAAACTTGTCAATCTAGAGGGAACAGGAAAAACTAACTTCATTACAAAACAGTAACATCATTATAAGTATTAAAAGCCATTAACTTTTTCCACCTTCTAGAATAATGTCCATGATATCAAAACTGACATACCTTTATCACAAACATTCATTAATAAAGTAATGTCTTAATTTTCTGGATATTGCTGATCAAAAATACCCCACTAATAACACTTTTCACAGTTATATTAATCTGATGCATGGTTAACATTAGTCTGGGAGATAAGTAATCAAAGCAGCCACAACTAATGTGCCTACACACAGCACTCACTTTCACAACACCCATCCCAACACAACTTAAAGGACATATCTGTGACTAGTTTTGCTAATTCTCTCTTCCTTTCAAATTTTATAACTACAATATTCTGTGCATTTTTTTTCTCCCCTATCTGTGATACATGACCCTGAAATGTTTATCACAGTAACATTTGATGAACTGAATAAAATAAGGTGATAGACAATGAATAATATCCAAATAAAATATTAGAATAATATAAAGTTCTACATTATGCAATTTGCTCCACTCTCCTGTTACCATCTGACATGTGCCAATGTATTCCTCAGGACTTTGTCCTCAAACACTCTGAAACTATGTGACATTTGAGGTTTTTACAGCAGTGAAAATGTCATCAAGAACGTGTTTAATCACCTGTGCCACTACACAGCATCATAACCTAAAAGCCCAAGTCAATACTATGAATCCAATTTTTTTCCCTTAGGGTGATATTCAAAGACACATTCACATAAAACAAGACATATAACAGTATTTTTATACTTTAACCCTTATGATTTTACACACATATCAGTATTATTTAACAATCTTAACTATGGTGTAGAAAGCTAAAACTTAACACAAAAGTTTACAAGTTATTATGCACCAGCTCAATCAGATGACAAATTACAAATGATGCAGACGAAACACATATTTGCAAATTTATATAAAAACTCCATCACAAATGGCAACATACAAACAGTAACGTTACACCAAATCATAGTCATAACACAAGACAAACAGAATTTATTTATATCCCATAGATCCTTCATAGGCCTAAGCTGGGGATGTAGAACATGTTACAGCACAAATACAATATTTGTTTCTAATACATTTATAAATTACATAGTTATGACAATGATTTAGTCAACTACAGTTTTACAGCAAAAATACACATGCTTACATATATTTATAATAGCTGAGAATTTTTGGTAAATTATTCAATGGAGTACAAGTGATAGGAGAATCTTTTAGTGCTTGCTTGCTTAAACTTCTTTATATTGCAATCTGGACTTTTTATAATGGGAGGAAGATTTCTGCATAGTTTAATTACAGTACAGTAAACTTCTTGCTGATATTTACTGAGATTAGTGTTTGGCACATGAAGGTTATAATTCTATCTTGTACTTACATTGCATAGCATAAAGATGCGTGTCTCCTATCAAACTTAGGAAACGTAAAAAATGGAATCCAGGAGAACAAATACAGTAATTTGGGCATTCATATGCTGTAATTAATACATTCTATGGTATTAAGATTATCACAAAAAAGTCAGGTTACCGCAGTATTCTTATTGAATGTCTGTCGTACTTGAAATGAAAACTATCAAACATTTAGAAACAGTAGAATTAACTTGTTCAGTTTCGAACAACACACAGAAAACCAAATTAATTTATTCACATTATCCTGATATCTCCAACTGTAATTCACGAATACATTGTACAACTGTGGAGTTGTGGCAATCGCGTCGATTAGAAATGACTGCTTTCGTCTACAGTGCACAGTGTACGAGTCACAGAAAATATTTCTATTCTATTGTACCTTCATACAAGCTGATCTGGATGAAAGATGAGCAAGGAATACTTTTTTGTATTACTTTCAATCCAACACAGCGCTAATGGTAGCGCCACACTGAACGCGTTACGCTTGGCGGGAAAGCGATTGTGACCAACGGAAACCTTGGGTATAGTACGCGACTGTAATCTTCGACTTGCAAGGAATACAGGACGTCCGAAGCGTTAAAGGCTGACGCTATCTTTCCTCCTTCACCCCACTTCAATCCTCGCATGATTACAGTCTTACACTTGTAAACAATATTACCACAATACAAGAAAGACTAATAATATCGAGAAGGGCCATCAGAGAACTGGCAAGAAAATTTGGACTAAGGGTTGTGGCTACGAGAGCCGGCACCATGCTGTGGTCACGGTCACGTCATATATAATTACCCTCTGGGGAAATTTTTGTCCGTAAGGTTTCGCGGTTGGGGTACATTATACACCTTCGTCTTTCGACCCGGCTCTCACCGAAAGTTATACACCCTTTGGGAAAATCCAACAGACAGCATAGAGTGTTAGTATTTTCTGTGGCAAGGTTAAATTAAGATTCAAAAGAAAAGAATTTTAATAACTATTTAAGAAGTTTAATAAACTTCTCCTTGGAAGTAAATTTGTACTTGCATCACTGTCTTACGTTTTGAACATATGAAGAAGGCATTGTTATAGGTTTTATCGCTGCGTTGTCTGGTAGAAGTTTACCAACGTTTCTGAGGTCCCTGTTGCCTCCATCATCAGGGCGATGAGAATATATGGATAAGTTATAAACATAAGGCACACAGATGACTTTTATATGCCAAATGCAAAGCTGTTGTTACCAGAAGTGTGCTTATCTAAAATATATAAATTCATGAATACAATTTATTTTAGATAAATATTCAACACTGCAAGGATTTAAGAGGATTGTGCTTGTTAGGATTAAGTAACCATTACTCTTCCATTTGGCATTAAAAGTTAAATTAATGTAACATTAATTTCAGTGTTTAAGGCAGCACTGAAAGATTATCTTTTTTGTCACTCCTTGCACACTAGAATTTATTTCAATTGAAACTTATGATATATGTGTGTGTGTGTGTAGTAAATAGTTGCTACGACTAAACAGTCATATTTGTACAAAGTGTTGGTATTAATATTAAGATGTTTTCCACATCCTTGGCTTGTACTATGAAGGATCTATGGAATATAAACATTGTACCATACTGTTGTATTCATATAAAATAAGCAAACAAACTATTAACAATATAAAAATGACACTAGTGCTATACACGTTTCAACCTCAAGAGGTCATCATCAGCGGCAACAGGGAAATTAATTAATTTAATCAAAATGCAAAGTTTTAAGATTGTTGTATTCATATCTTAATGGTGAAAACAACGGACTGCCATTCAGGTAGTGACTGTCTTAGGTCAGTTTTCGATCATTGCGTTTTATCATTGTTTCTATGAGGTACAATCACCTGTATTTATGCACTTTTTATCCCAATCTTCTATGCCTCTGAAATTTCTTTCATTTTGCCAATATTAAGCAAATAGGTTTTTACTCCATCGAAACAAATTCCAAGATAGAACATTCAATCAGGCTATGACTGTTTTGTTCCATTTCCTTTGTAATTTATTATTAATTATCATATCACTTGACACTATATAACCTGAGTAATTGAGTGTTGTTTAATAAACCCTAAAAATCAAATGACTACGTAATAGAAAGTGACCTTAAAAGAGAGTTTTTTGATTAGTGAAATTGGAACAGGGCAACAAATGGTGAAATCTTACATTCTCAAAGCAGTTAATATGAAATTGACTGTCATCAGAGATGTAGCACCTTGTAGTCTGCGATAAACTGACTGAGATTTTAGAGGTACTTACTGACTTGATAATCCAGGTGACAAGTAAACAAATACCCTAACACCACAAATAAAAAAGCAACCATAGACTGACCTTGACTGCTAAATGATGAACATGTGAGGGTGAGATCATTGTTTTGATCCCTACATGTTCCCAGGTCTTTTCAAGAATGTGTTAATCTCATTGTTTATCTGCATAGTTTCTTTTAAGGTTTGGATGGCTATGTTGGATAATTATTTGGTTGAAGTTTCTAGAGGCCAGTTTAACTCTAATAGATTTTCTGGAAAAGAACTGTATTCCATCTCATCAGTTTTACAATAACTTATATACTGTAATGGCTACATATTCCAAAATTTTAAAAAGAAGTAAAATCTATAGTGTTATGTTACTGAACAAAGCAATCAAATAGCAAAATATAATTTTTGTTCCAACTATATGTCTTCACAGTCAAGAAATGAACGATCCTGGAACATACTCTTATGCACTGCACACATGCATGAGGTGACATTTATTCAGAATCTCAGAGCAGAAAAATATTGTGATGATGACGACTACTACTTTGGCTCTATGTCAAGTAGTCTACACATAGATAAATTGGACAAAACAGTTGCTAAGACTCTAACTCTTCAAGTACGAGACACAAACTCAGTTCTGTCCCTAAATACTGTCTGTTCCCCAAACTCTTCACGACACAGCCCTCGGCTCGCAGCACCACACTGGACTGCTCAATGGCTCCTCAGCCATTCCAGACCACAAACTCAGCGCTCTTCACACACAGCCTCCGGCTCTCAAATTAATTTATTCACATTATCCTAATTGCAAATGAGGTCGTCAAGTGTTTGACTGAAAAGTTGGGTCTCCCTATCGACAACTGTGTGGCCTTTTGTTCTGATTGGCGCTTCAACTTTGCGAGGCGAAAATGTTGTGGAAAATTATGCTGATTTGTATAAATTATGAACATGTGATGACTGTGATTGGTTTCAGTTGTAAACTTTATTCGTTCTGGGGGGCGCTGACACACAAGATTACAGCGAACTAAGGTTATTTGCTGAATCATGCGAAATTCGTCTTTTCGGCAGTGCAAGACAGTTGCAACGTTTTATAAAGCTAGAGGACGAATTTGTTCAGTTCTTGGAAAATTGTCCAAGAAAGTTCTCATGGCTCTTCGACGATAAATGGGACATTTACAACAAAAGGTTCGTGACTATGATAAATAAATTGCAGACAAGAAGTGTAACGTGTCTCATTAATCAGAAGTAAACATAAAAGATTTGACGGTTTAGCCATTATTATGTGTTTCATTAATGTTACACAAGGTTACTAAATTAACAACTTATTTTCGTTGAGTTGTAACCTCAAAAATCATTTTCTTTTTACAGCTCAGTTACACCATTTTAAGTTGAAGTTTAAAAATTAAGTACTTTGGCTTCTGAGTTACATTTATCTTATTTTCTGACCTACAATCTTGAAAGTTACCAGACCTATCATAACATTAAAATTTATAATAATCATAGTATTAATAACGATTTGTTAGTTAGTGAATTTGCACACTTACAAATTGAAATAATAAAATAATGCAGGGGCTGTATTATGTAATTAACGTAACAATTAATATAACGCATTGATATATTTATTTACACATTTTAATACATAACGTTCGCATACGTTTAACTAATGTCTCCCCCTGCGTCGGGAGGTCCGTCCGGTGGCAAACATAGTTCGCGAACCTCAAGGCCCGACCCGACGTGAGATGAGTCGCGTTCAGGAGGCAAACTTCGACTCCGTGGTCACCGAGGAACTGTTCCAGCCCCAGCTACCTGCCGCGAACACCGTCGGCGTTCCAATAAACCAGCCGCAAAACCTTACCACCGTGTCTCCTAGGCCGTGCAGTCATACTCGGCTACGAAGAGGATAACGGTTTTGAGGACGTCCCGCGGACGGGCCTCCCCGGATGGGAAGGAAGGGGCCGCGCCGAGTAGACGGCGTATCTACTCGTCGCAGGCCTGGGTCGGGAGGTTCTCCAGGAGATCTGAGATGCCCTGGAGCGGGGACTGACCCTTAGGTGGGGCGGGGACAGTCTTCTTGGGAGCGGGTGCGGCGGGATACCCCACCGGCACTACAGGACGAGCGGGCTTAGCATTGCCGTCCTTAGGCACAGCCTGCCGCTCAGTCCGTGCAATAGCGCCGGACGGCGTTGGGGCGGGGTTCTTCGTGCCTCAGCCTTGACGACGCGGCCACCACGGACCACGTGGTTCCAGCCAGGGCCCAGGTTCTCCTGTTCCGGAGAAGGCTTAGCTGGCACCAATGAGGGCGCTGGCAGGCGCGTGGAGACACCGTCCTTTCGGCCGCGTTCCCCTCTCGCACGCTTTGCAGCGGCCGCCTTCGCTTCCTTCCACTTACTGCAACCTCTGTAGTTTGCAGTGTGGTTGCCCCCGCAGTGATTAAACCCTAAATAAACACTGATTAACAGTTATTGTAATAGTAATTTAAAAATACTAGTCAGATTAAAGAGGAGCAGTATTAAACTGAATGATAAATAAACAGTGTGTGACAGTATGGATCTGACTTGACTGTCTGAGGATGTGGTTCAGGTTCTAGAAGGTGGGGATTTACGTGACTATTTGAGTGATTATCAGCATCTGAAGAAGTACTCCACTCTGTGGGATTAGCTAATTACGTTTTACATGGCAATGCATATCAAATATTGAGTCTTGCAATCACAGTGTCATTCAGCACTGTGAAAGCAGCAGAATTTCAGTTCTATCACACACAGATAAAAAAAAACTGTTTTACCACGTTCATAGCTGTGAAACGATATTGCTCATTGTCGGTGCCATTCCAGGCTGCAAGAAGTTTTTGTCAGCCACAAGCAACACTTCTGCATACTTGGTGTCTTCTTCAACAGATTTCTTGTCATTAAAATCTGCTTGCATAGCATCTGAGGGTCAACTTCCAAATCAGATTCTCTTCTTTGGCTGTACTCAGATTTTTAAGGATCTGACCACACACTTTCCCAGTCTGCTGAAGAAGAAGAAAAAAATCAGGATGTTTATTTGTAATTTTTATTAAACCAATGACTATTCTTAAAATTTCACTCTCATTGTCACCATAATCATCATAAATCAACCCTTTAAATGCAATGTTCGTCTAAATAGTATTTAAGAATTCAGTCCATACCAGGAAGAAAAACAGCCTTGTAAGGCAGTACTCTGTTTATGTATATCCACCCCTTTCTTTAATTAGTCAACTGTAAAAATTTTTACCACTCACCATCTTTAATCTAAAACATTTAACAGTTCAAAATTGATGGCTATACAACTTTGAAGTATAAGTTATCTTAACAATTCAATATGCATTTCTAAATTGCGGAATGAACCTTCAAACAGCATTCAAGGTTAACTTGCAAATTCTTTTTTCAAGAATCGCAATTTTGATGGCTTCACTTCACAACACACTCAATTTTCTTATTTAAAATTTCAATATGAAGTAAATTTGAAGGGATCATTTTTGTTTTTTGTACAGAAACCTACTATCAGAGAAAGAGACCTCTATGTGTCAAAGTCCAGAGAACCACATAAAGTAAGCCTACTTACTTCCCCATTAAATGCTGAAATATCGTACTCCGCATTTAAGAAATATTATGCAAATTTAAAGCAACTATCTGTAGTATAAGGGTAAAACTCGAAACATTACCGATTCATCGATCTCATTGGAGCAAATTCGCGTTAACGAAACATACGTGATTGCAGAGATGACTGTATTTATAATTTTTATTCAAAATCAGTGATGTAAGAATTACGATTTAGTATAAGAAGCAGTACGAGAAACATTGTAAAACGTTATAAATAATAGTAAAATATTTTTTTTTCACTTTTTGACTTTCTGGTTTCAAAATAGGCGTTATTCTGAATCGACGCAAATCAAGGGCTACCTGTATTTTGCAATTATGTTGATTAACTTATGAAGGCTTTGTGTCTAGAACAAAACCACATAAATCCATATTAATTTTAAATTTAAGTTAATGAAATTCTGCCATTCATTTCAACATTGCATAAACCATATACTTATATCTAAGTTATAAACAACCCTTACTTTCGTGCCACAGAAAGTCCTGATTTGATGATGAGGTCTGTACAAAGGGAATTTACTTTTACTGTTACAACCTTTGCATTTCTGTCTGGAAGTTTTTCATCAAAGTCCTCTTCATCCTCTAAATCAGAATATTCCTGTAATTAAAACTACACATGAAATTAAACTCTTCAGCATCTATACATATCAAAGATTCTCAACACATTAATGGCCACAGTCCATTTCAAAGTAATTCAAATGATAAAAGTCTTTACATTGATATGATAAACAGTCAATAAAATGGAGTGTCTTGCCTCCTACCAGCTAGACAAAATAGTTAACAACATAAAAGAGGTAAAACCCCTAAAGAAAGAGATCAGCATTGAGATCCATTGGTAGGTTTTAATTCTAGACTGTGAAAAGCAAGAAGTTCTAATGTTTCTAATATTGGATACATTTTAGTAACAAAAAGTGTGAGCTTGCAATGGTTTTGATTTATAACGTCTACCAGGTAAATAACAGCCTTTCATAAATAATATTGTTTTCAATACAAAGTCTTCCTCAGAACTGACAGAACTGTGATTACTTAATTATTACAGTGTTACTGGCGATATTTCTGATTCTGCATTGGAGGAATAATTCAATTAAATTTCCTTGATGAATTTCTTGGACAATGTTTCGAAAGTACCGAGTCAAATCGTGTAGAAAACAAATTTTGATAAGAATGAATACATTCATACGGTTTGTTATATTTGATTTATTTGCCTCCATTGGCTGAGTTCATTTATTCCCTGTCTATTTATTTCTCATTTCTAGGTTGGGTTTGTACACTTTACACAAACTGTACCACGCCAAAGCTTTCAGAGCACATTTCAAAAATGTGTCTGCATTTAATAACTTTGAATGTAGAATACAAATATAGTTTTTCCTAAGTGTTCTACAGAAGAGAGAATTGATATTTTAACCTGTACCAACGTATACACATACGAAATCCATGGCGAACAACATGATTAACGTCAGTTCATCATCAGTTTGACCAACATACTTGTTAAGAAAATGACTGGTTCAAACTAAACATGCATTCCAGTGTTACTTTCATGTTTCAACATGATAATCTGAAGCCAGTTCATAATAAATGCATTTTCAAGTGTTCTTTATGCTTTCGCAGAAGCTAGAAACACTTTATGGGCCGTCCACACCAGAGTCTCTACAAAGAATGGGTAATTTGAAAAGTTGGACTGGGTTCCACAGCATGCGGATTTTCCTTCGATTCAGAAAACAACTTTTAATAAATATTTTCGTAATTTGCATCACTGTGCCTTAAGTAAACATGCAATAAGTAAACATGCAACACAATTCACTGTGTGAAATATGGCATGTACATATAAAATTGCTAGAGCGTCACATTTCCATAGCAAACACGCAGCTTCCTCAAATAAATGCTCACTTAAATATACAAGTACAAGAAACTGAGTTCACAAATCATAACTGTAGCAAATAGTGACGTCATGACTAACAAGGCGAGGGAAATGGCGAAAAGAGAATCCACTACAGAGTCTGAAGGCAGGCTTAAATCCTGCTGTAATATAGGTGTTTTAATGAACATTCTATGGAAAATGCCCATTACACATACCATAACATCCAAAATGTGCTAAAATGCTGTGTGTTCCCATGGCCTGACACCCAGGAAAAGAAGCATTAAGAATTCTGCCTTTAATAACATCGTACTATTTAAAACTTACACTTAATTTTAAAATAAAATATAAATGTAATCAGGCTTGAATTAATGTCCTTGTGTATATTTTGCATGCAAAAGTACATGTAAATTGTAATTTATGTGCACTTATGGAGAAGTTGACAAGCAAAGCACTGCTTGTTCATGTAACAAATAACAAAAACTAACCCAGCAGGGCATGTGCTTCCACTCAGCACGCTTTGATGGCAATCGGGTTCAAATAAATAGGTTCCTCTAAGTAAAATTTTCTGAAATAAAATCCCTTAGAATATTTGGGTGTGCATTCCTGTTAATACCTCAAGTATGCATCAATGTCATTGAGCCTGCTTAGAACAACTTTCATCTCTGTATTGATGTTTCAAGATGATAAGCAGGACACATATGTGAAATTTTAGTAACAGTTTAATTGAAGAAAAAATCTACCCAAAACATTCTGGAATTTTTTTGTTAAAATACAAAATAGCTTTCATGCTTACCTCTGCATAAGAATCTGGTATTTTGTTTCACCTTACCACGGACCGACGGAATCACAAAAATAATCCATGCAATACTCCTGAAATGACAGAAAAAAATATATGACACAGTTTCATGAATTGCTAGAAATGCTGAGACATTACAGTTCGCACAGGTACCAGGAAAGGAATTGGACCATTACAAAACACATTAATAATTCTAATAAAAAATTATTATATAACATAATTACATGATACATTATATAATGAAGACTTCATACATCTTAAAATATGAAAAAGTTATATAAAGATATGAACATAAAGTGGCAACGAAAGAGAAAAGTCCTTAAATGTGAACAAAATTGTTTTGTACTTAATTATTTCAAAATTTCTCTTATTCAAGAGCTCACAATGTCCGGTCAGCATTTAAAGCATCAACCTGTCTCAAGCAGGGAGGCTAAATTTTTTCTCTGCAGTTTCAACAAGAATGGTGAGACTGCTAAACAGCCACTCCTTGTGCACACTCTTACATGTGTGGCACAAATAAAAATCTTCTTGTACTCTAAGGTACCTGTTTTCACAATACACTGACATAACATTCCTCTTTAAAAAAAAAGTCTGTAATCCTTGAGTCTGGGATGAGAGTTTGGTGGATATCTTAAATATCAAATGGTAACCATATTTATAAAATATGATGAATAAGTTTTTCCTTCCTCTGCCAACAAATTTAAAAGTTTTTTAATTTTGAAATTTAAGCTTTCTTTAAATTTTCCCATATTCTGATTCACTAAAATAATTACACCAATGGTCCTAACTAAGAAAGATAGCTTATTCTTGTACCAATTAAAAGCATCAACCGTAAGAAATTGTGAAGTACAATTTTAGGGTAGTCGCCAATCGCATAACGTCCATACCAAATTCCATCCAAATGCATCAGATGTTCTCAACTTCAATCATAAGGGCAGACAGTCATGACCAGCCCTACATGTGCTATTAGAAATTTTGAAACTGACTTACATCACGTATTCATAGGTCGCTTTACCCAGTGTTTGAAGTTTGCTGGTCAAAGGACAAAACAGACACATTACAACAGAACTTACGATGATGTATTCCTCTTCAAATTCAGCAGTGCAGCACCCCGACTAAAATTTCTGAGAGGCTCCTCCTCCTCCACATCCTGCAGAGGAGGAACTGATGCAGGTAACCTGCTTTGGTTGCGAAGAATTGACAATATAGACGCTCTGCCAGAGCCATGACTCATGGTTACTGCAGGTGGGGGACCTGCAACTACAGCTACAGCTGCAGCTTCCGACTGTTACAAAGAGAATCAAGCTCATAAAATGATAAATTACAGTCTTCAGTCCTGACATCTACAAATTCATAAAAGGGCACAGATGGAAGCCCACATTTACAACACACAACTAGAGATACCCAAAGCTAAATACTGTACAACCAAAAACATTCACAATGTAAAAAAGACAAAAATTTTACCAGCCACACATAATAATTATTCAGGGCAATTACAAGAGACACGGACATAATAGGGCCAAAGAGTTAACATAGTTATCACTTAAATTCTATAACAAACCCACCAACCAAAAACAACAATTCACCGTATAGTCACAAATTAATGAGTACATTTACAGCATATACAGACGTAAAAGCAAACTCACCAACCAACAACTGACCACAGTCACTTCTATTTCCAAGTAAGCACAGCTGCCTCATGAAGCCAACAGGCATTCAGCTAGTCAATAAATTCCCTGGCCTTTATGAAACCCCAAAAGTTCATTACCATACGCACAACAACCTGCCATTGATACCTAGCTTGAGCGAAATTCCTTTCTCTTCATGACTGATTTTAATATTATTCTCCCAGCTATGCTCAAGTCTTCCTGACGGATCTCTCCTTCAGGTTTTCCGACTACAATTATGAATGCATTTATCATCTGTATCCTGTGTGCGCTAAATACCTTGTCCAATTCATCCTCCTTAACTTGATCATTCTAAAATATCTGGTGAAGTGTACTAACTACGCTCTTATTATGCAGTTTTCTGAAGCCTCCTACTACCTTAAAACATTTTCCTCTGCACACTGCTGTCAAACATTAACAATCTGTGCTCTTCTAGTAATATGGTGCATGATAAACCTTTCTTTACGCTATGAACTGGCCCAAAAATTTAGAAGCCAGGCACTTTTTTGCCCTCCAGGTTTCATATTTTAAAAACTTACAAAAAGTTTTCAATATGCTACTAATGAATGGAATAAACTGCCTTTTCAGAGGCACAAAGAGCACCTCAAAGTCAGTCTGACTAGTCATAGCTATGCATGAGAAACTCAAACACAAATAAACTGATTTTGATTAAATCTGATACTGAGACTTTTACAAAAATGTATCAATCATTTTTAAACTACAGTAACATTATATTAACATTATACATCGTGTCCCATTCAAAACAGTCTTAACTACTACGCATGAACTCCTACATGCACAAAATGATAAAACCAATGGCAATTATAAATTCATGCAGCCATATCACGTTGGTGCAGCCGATGCACTACTTGAAATTGGTAAAAAGTAAAGCAAAGTTTGTCCCGCTATGCGCCATGTAGGCGCTTGGGGTGAGAGGAGGTATAGCTCCTCTCTTCCTTGACCTCGGCACTAGATGGGGGTGAGTGGTCAGCATCACGCCCCGGCCGGCTTTACCCCCAGGAAAGGACCCCGGTACCCACTGTAGAGGAGGCTGGGTGGGACCCAGAGCCGGTCTGGACGCAGAGGCTACAGGAAAAATCCTCTGCCCCCGTTGGGGATCGAACCCCGGTCGACCAGTCCGTAGCTAGTCACTATACCGACTGAGCTATCCCGGCTCATACTTGAAATTGGTACAGCCATAATTTCAGCTGTTCTGTCATTCAATGAACATTTGTAACATGCAAACACTACCCGAGTCCTTAAACTCTTTTTACTAGCTGGCATATTGTTGTTTTATTCAGTACTTCCCTACAGCAAACAATACTGATGCAGAGTAATACTCAACAGTAAACATACAATCTGCTCTGAATAAGCCATGTTTGAACGTGCACACTTATTGCAAACTGGTGTAAGCAGTGACCTAGCAACCAAAATGATCTTGACTTGGACATAGACATTTTGGGAGAGTCTATTACATGAGGGTGAACCTGCTTCTGATTAACTAATAAACAGTATTCCACAACCAATGTGCCACGAGTTTTTAAAACAATTTGTATATTCACTTTATAGACAAAAAGGGGCAATGTGTTAAATGAAATTATTAAATCTTAAACAATTATTATTTCTTTCATCAACTCTTTTCTCTCATCAGAAAGCAGCCCACTCCCCTGCTCTACCAATCTGCACCATCAAATTCCACTGCCACCTCACATAACACTTCCAAAAATACCCTGTCACCACACATTCACCCAGGAGATGGCAGCTGCAGTGTTTGCCAAACTATAACTGGATAACTATCAACATTTGACGCAGCCTATTATACCCAAGAGCCAATGTCACATACTGAACTCCAGCTGTGAAAACTTAAAAATAAAAAGTAATGTTGTTCCACTGTATGCCATGTAGGTGCTTGCGGGGAGAAGAGGTACAGCTCCTACTCATTCTTGACTTCAGCACTAGATGGTGTGAGTGGTCAGTATCATGGCTTGGCCGTGCTTTACCCCCGGGAAAGGACACTGATACCCACTGGATAGGAGGCTGGGTCGGCCCCAGAACCAGTCTGGACACAGAGGCTAAAGGAAAAATTCCTCTGCCCGTCGGGGATGAAAACCCCGGTCGTCCAATCCGTAGCCAGTCACTATAATGACTGAGCTATGCCAGACTCATGATGTGAAAATTTAAGGACAAGAAATTCAAATAGTATCTCAAAGTGAAGCTTTGGGCTACTGGCTGCAGCCTAAGGCAATAACTAGAATATCTAATCCCAGAACACCGGTAAAAATAAGCACAAAGTATTTCTCAAGCAATAAAATCTACTGAACTGGACCTCAGAGAGTAAACACATTGCTGATGTACTTTCCCACCTGACTCTTATCAGCTGCAACTCCTGGTCACTGCTGAGCATGGAAAGCCTCCAATATTGCCCCATGACCTCCACGTCCTGCCATAATTTGAACTGAGTGGAGAAAGATTTGATTCTGAAACAATACCAGAGCTACAGATATGGAGGAGTGTAAAAAGCAGATGGGAACTCCCACTTTAACATCAGTCTCACTCTCATGTGTTATACCCAGTTATCATATACAAGGATCTTGCAAGCTACTCAAGGCAGGAAAGCCTCTTCAACCAGTATGGGAAAATGCTATTATACAGGAGGAGGCAGAGGAAACGCATGTTTTTAAAATAACAATAACTCAGTTGATTTTCAAGTTAAAAAAACTTTAATTACACAAAAGAAAGGTTTTAAAATGCAGTTTTTGTTGAACTTTTTGAATTACTTTTGAAAAATAACGTCCGTCAAGTGACGCCCTTCCTTCTGTACGCACTCTTGCAGCCTCCTCAAAATTCTGCAATGCTCTTCCCAACATTTCTTCCCCCACAGTAGCGATTTCCTGGCAAATGGAATCTTTCAGTTCCTGGATGTTGCGTGCTTTGTTTCTGTAGACCTTTGATTTGAGGTAACCCCACAAAAAATAGTCACATACAGACAGGTCAGGGGAGCGAGGCGGCCACGGATTCACCACGTTTTATATAATTTTCAACAACAAACACCCGGTGCTCGCTGGTCCACGGTGCCATGGCTAATGAAACTGCATCATCTAAGATGTCTACTAGCAAGGGGCGGAAATCCCCCACCCTCCTCCTTGCCGAGTACTAGCCATTCGAAAAACATGCGTTTCCTCTGCTGCACCCTTTACTATTACTAAGAACTAGGTTAAGTTTTGGTTAGCTGTTTTGTGTGCTGGTAGTCTTAAAATAACCACTGCAATTGTGTAGACTCCAAACTTTCAGTCACAGAATCAAAATAAACAGTCATGGTACATTTGTTAATACATTTAACAATGCTGGAAAAGGCTACATAGCCTAAAATAAGGAATTGCTGGAAAATAAAGACATGAAAGAAAGAGATCGGAACTAGCAAACATTCAACACAAGCAGGCAGAGCAAAGACAAAAGCATGACAAAAAGACATAAGACACAACAAAACAATAAGACAACAAAACAATGAGGCACAAAAAACATAAGGCACAACAAGAACAATAAGACACAACAAACAACACACCACACTCAAAATAAAACAACTCATAATATTACAAAACTGTATAACCTAAAGTACATAACTTAAAAATTCAACTAGACATAAGATAGTAACAGAAATGAATTACATACGTCATGAACTGATGCACTCACATTTCATCAGGGCCTTCTCTACACTTCACTACACTTATGAAGCCTTCCCATCCTCACCCCAATTTACCCCCCTTCACTGCACCCACCCATCTATTCCCTTTACTTCACCTCATTTATCACTTTCCTAACCTTCTTCCTAAACGTACTTGGTTTACAGGAGAGAGTCCCTAAAACCTCAGCAGGTAGCTGGTTCCAGAGTTGGATGGTCCTATTTACAAAGGAATATTTTCCGATATCTGTTCTTTGTTTTCTGCTCCTAACTTTCCGAATATGATCGACTCTGCTCAGGTAGTATGGCCTTTGCAATCTGTCACCTATAGCTTTCCATGCCCGATCTCCCGTGTACGCCTTGAAGAGAGCACATATTCGTGCTATCTTTCTACGCTGTGCCAGGGTTTCCCAGTTCGAATCGCTCCTGTGATATGCAAATTTACATGCTTTCCTTTGCACCCGTTCTAACGCATTTATCTGCCCCTCCCTGTAAGGATCCCAGCACGCCGCCCCATATTCCAGAATCGGACGCACTAGTGATGTGTAGGCTAGACTTTTAGTGTTACTATTCCCCTTTTTGAGAACACGCATTGTAAAATGAAGTGCCTTCCAGGCTTTCTTCACCGTATAATTTACTTGATCAGCCCAGCTTAAATCGCTGCTTAAGAGTATTCACAAGTATTTACAACTGTTCATTTCCGGAATTATGTCATGTGGTCATATTCACACATTCAGTGATTCAATGTTCCTCCAAATATCATTTACGTACGCGAGGAATAGAAGTGGACCCAATACACTCCCTTGCGGTACACCTGACGTTACTCTGACTTCCTCTGATAATTGCCCTCCTACTCTAACTCTCTGCGTTCGGCCTAAAAGGAATTCCCTTACCCATACGACTATCCTCAAGTCCACGCCCGATGCCGCGATTTTCATAAGCATAATGTATTAAAATGCAAAGCAACTACTAATGGAGGAAGCAGATTGCATTCATCAGACCTAAGATATAAGGGGAAGTTGGTGTTGGACTCTTTTCCAGTATGTACTTTGTTGTCACTTCCAGTTCAGCCACACACCGAAGAATAAAATTTAAATACTGTGTTGTCAGAAAAGAGTTATGGTTTCTACCTTCCATGACGTGACAGCTTTGCAATCTGGAACTAAGCCCTGACACAGCTCAACGTTGCCAGCTTATCACACAGAAGTATCGTAAGCTGACAACACTGAACAGTGAAGGCTGTAGAAATATGCCTCGTGTCACAGTGTTTGAAGTTATCACTATCACAGCAAAGAACAGTATGACCAATTGGTAATATATAAACCAACTGAGAAAAACAGTGTTTGTGGGTACAAGGAGAATAGAATATATTTTATTTACATTCCACAGATCCTTCAGAACGTAGGACAAGGATATGGAACATGTCATAAACATCAATAGTTAGCATAAATGCAATGTCAATATAAATACATAGATGTTGCAGCTATTTACACAAATACTTAATATATTTAAACGTTTGATGCTAGATGGAAGAATACTGAATATGTGTGATTTGAGGTTTTCACAGCAGTGAGTATGAATATTTCTGTCTTCTGGGTTGTTGCGCTGTGTAGTCTGGTCGATGTTTACCAACGTTTCAGAGGTGATACCACCTTCATCATCAGGGCGATGAATGTGCCAATTGGGTGAAGGGGGCAAGGTTCATAGCAAACGGACAGTGAATGGAGTAGCCTGCCCCTAGCCAATGGGAGCAGGTGTCAAGTCAGGCGTGGGTGCGGACTGAATACTGAATAATTTGATCTGTGCACAGTAAGCACCTTTCCATTACCCAAGGATCATACATCAGTCAGATACGTGACTTGTCACAAACTCAAATCACAAGTTCAAGCATCATATACACACTCCTCACCCACCTGTTCATATGATGCCTGTGATGTTATCACAGAAGGGCAACAAATACATCAGTGTGACCGCTATTTCTGGCAATGTTGTCCAAGTCCTTCTCAATTTGGTAATTTAGGTCCCTTTCAGGACAACTGATAGGTCTACAAACTAAAACTGTATAACCTTAATCAGCAAAATCTTTATTTAATGCTCTAATATCACCTATAACAGAACCAAGTGTAGCATTGTATTTGAATTCAATGGTAACAGCATATTCATCCCCAAGGGTGGAGTGAAGCTGTTCACACAATCCTCTACCCTGTCCAAAGGAAAAAAGTTCTCAAATTTCTTATTACAAAGTCCAGGTTTTGGACTTCTGAACTTACCCTAATACTGGAAATGGAAATTACCTACTTACAGAAAAAGAACTCTAACCCCTCCAAAACAATGACTCATCCAATTAAACACTGCTGTCAAAGATTATCCCTTAATTAAAACGGGCACCGAAGTTCATAACAGTTACTACAAATGAGCTGCTAAGACGTTAGAAAAAGCCAGGAAAGTATGTAGCTTCTCTGGCTGTATTCTAGAACTGTTCCTCTCCATGCTGTCCTCAATTTATATAGGCCTAGTATTCTAGAACTGTTCCATTGTTGCTATACATTTTTGCTACAAAGGAAATACATCGCACAACTCTGTCACTATGAAAACGGGTTTGAAACACGATTCTTCCACCACAAAACACATTTTGTACTACGTCACTACATTTCCACGTTATGTATTCAGCCTACTTGTTGATTTTAAAATTTATATGATATACAGTTAGACCCTTATACCTACATCTGAACTACTGCCAGCACTTCCTCGTATTACTATGTAAATGAGATATGGAGTACATCATGTGCTGCAGGCGACAAATAAATAAGACGCACTTACACTTGTCTCACACGTATTCACCAAACCCTGGCAGGCATATAAATAACAGGGCCATACACCGATGCATCGCAAGACTTGGGTTGCAGCAAGGCTTGGCAGCACATCCTGTCAGTTCTGCACCTTCTTCAGATGAAGGAATTATATTTTCTGAATCGTTTTTAAATTCTCCGTCCATTGTATAAAACAAACAAAACGAAACACAGTAAACCGAAGACCAACAACAGTTCTGTTCAGTATTCGTACTATCTTGCTCTATAAAATGCAACCACCTACCACAATAAAAACAACGAATGTGCTCCACATGACAAATCACAGACCATAAATCACCTGTAACAGATAATCTCTATGACAATCTACAGCAGAAAACCTGATCCACAGACGTGCTGGAAAAGGGAAACTTACCTTAACTGTGCTACCATCTTCTAGTGGAGCGGAACTATTTCGGCTTTGGTAGCTTTGTTGAATCGGTAATAAGAATTACTACTACTGCGCCCCACTTTTTGGGATATTTACCTTGTATTTTTGGGTAGACTGAGCACATGAAATACGGTATGCTATTGAAAAACAAACAATATGTGCTCTCCAAACACAAACAGAGGTGTACTTTGGATTTATTACGACTGTCACGTTTTGCAGCATGTAGAAAGAATGCGAATATAACTCACATGCCAAGATTAGCGTAGAGTGTGCGCCGTAGGCCTTTAATAGCGATCGTCACGTAGGAACCAAAATTTCTCCGTTATGCACTAATGTAGGTTGGTATGTTGGTGCTGCTGATTCCATTATCATCGTTGTGGGTATGCTTTCTGTGATTTACTGAGGGCA